AAGGAGGCAAGTTCACGTGTGTGAGGAGGAAGGAATAAATGAACAGAACGTATAAACAGTAATGCCTCATGAAATTTTATTTTAATATTATTTTTGGATTCCAGGTCCTGTAAAAGTCTTTATGGACCTGAGAAAGTCCATTTGCTGAATAGCCTCTTTTGCAAATAAATTCTTTGATATTTTTCACATTAAGCAGCTTCGTTTTTCCCAGAGTTTTGTATCATGAGAATGACTAAACTGCCTCCCTCAGTAAAGCTGCACTTGGAAAAGTAAGTATTCGTAAACTGAGGTCTTACTTACCGACCCCGAGCAGTTGGTGAGATGGCTTATACTAGGAAGCATGAGGCAGGATATAGTTTAGAGATCTAGGACAACATGGTTAATGTAATCACTTCAGGCACATTCACTGGAAGTTCAAACATATACGTAACTGTGTAAGTTATTTGTTTGTTTCAGATTATAAAAAATAAACAACTTCAGAACTATTTCCAACAGTATTTCTTATTAAACTATTTTCAACATCTATTTTTGCAACAGAAAGAAAAAGGAGTTTAGTGGCTACAGGGAAGATGTTCAAGAAATGACAGGCAGCAGGGAGCAGAGCACTGATTTTTCTCAGGTGAAGTGATTATTAGCACTGAGGAGACAATCAGGAAACATGAAGAGTCAGCATCTTAGCTGCTGTGTCTTGAAGACAAGGACAAAACCCCATCGAGTTCCAGGTATAATGGAATATGGAACGTGATGCCAATGGAATTGCATCAGTATCTTTGAAGGACTGAAATACTATGAGGTTAATAATTAAAAAATCTCACACTGGCTCTGCATGAGCAATCAGTTCACCAAAATGGTAGAGAGAAAAGTGTTTTCTTTTGTACATATGTATATTTTATATATTTTTATATATATGTATGTAATGCTTGAAGCATATGGACACCTAGATGCTAGCTGCTGCGTGATATACATATCGGTGCTGTCAAATAAATTAGGCACAGCTAGAATTCAGTATGTTTTTTCACAAGGGTTTCATATTACCGAAGGAGATTAAGTACGTGCCTTCAGCTTTAATATCTACTGAACGAAATTTCGTTATTAATACATATGTGAGTTCTTTAAACTCTGGGTCTCTGTTGGTGAGCCCTGTTCTCTTCAAAATATTTCCCTGAGTTAACTGTTTATCTGAAACTGAAGGGGAGATGGGGAAATACCCAACTCCTTGGATTAGTCTTTTCCTAAGAAGTCCTTAGTTCTTCAAACCTGGCCTCCACTGCCCTATCCTAACCCACCATTAAGCTGTGGTATTCTCCAAAGCCACCGACCTCAATCTCCCTGTGAACCACCTTGAGGTCTGGAGAGGTCCTTTTCCCCTCAGGCTCCGTCCTTCCCACAAGTGCCACTTGCTGCCAGGAGCAGGCAGGCCTGGGCACCTGCACATCCCAAATGACGCCAACCTGCTGGCACTGCTCCTCGTAACCCGCCCTGCTGCGGTGGGAAGAACAAGGACTACTGACAGAAATGCAATGCTAGAAGTGAAGTCTAGCCCAGGACAGGGCAATCCATTAAAAGAGAATGGAGACAACACACATTCCCATCACGCTCTTGTTACAAATTCACAACTGACGTGTGCCAACGGAGGAGAGAGGGTAGGACACAAACTAGAGAATTACAAAGGTAAATGTTTATTAATGCACATGAGATGCCCCGTCCAAACAAGCCACAGCCCACGGATTTTTCTCTAGGGGTTTATGTAAGGGTATGATATGAATTACCAACTAATGCATATTTCTAATTTTCCAATCACAAATGTAGTACAGCAAAGCAACTACATTTTTGTAGGTCTCGTAGCAGCATCATCCACCAGCATTCTCGTGGCATATCTATTGATCCAGATGTTCCTGTCGTCAACTTCTGCAAAGCTATCAGGCGGCCTCCTAGCAATTCCTCTTTGATACGAATCCGTCAGTCAATTTTGCAAAAATGTTTCCCTATCTTAGTCAATCTCTTGTTCTTCTAAATTGGGGCAGGTGATGGGTCTTGCGTCTCCCAATAATCACGCAGCAATTATATGCCAATAGTGTTCTTGACTCGCACTGGCTGCAGGGTCTCAATCATCTGCGCCACAGTCTCCATCCTACAGGCCCTGAGGTAGCTCGGTTGAGTAACGCCCAGGCAGTGGGCAACACACACCGGGCTGGTGGCGACTGTGGGCAAACTCCTTGTGAAGGAGGACAGAGCCGGGCGGTCTCCTCAGGGCACAGCGCTGGCCTGCTCAGCACTGGTGACCGCCGAAGCCCGCCAGGCTGGGCCGGGCCCACCACGTATGGCCTGCCCAGGCACAGGTGGCCCCACCACCTGCGTGCCCAGACAGGAGAGCAGGGACACATGTCGCCGCCAGGCACGGCACCCTGCCCTGCCTCGTACCCCCGCTCGGTGCCCGCCGCCTGCCCCCGGCCCCGGCCGCCCCCTCGCCCCTCCGCCGTCCCGCCATGCACCGCGCCACCACCCCACTCCCCCCCCAC